TCCCAAAATGGTGCAACACGGTTGCAAGCTGATACTCTTGCCTTGCCTTCGCAGGCTTGCCCTAGGGCTCCAGTATCTAAGTAATGGGTTGCTGGGCTACATGTAGGGTTGCACAAGGTGCCAATGTCAGCTCCAGGGTTTGCAAAGTGCTCGGTTTGCAGTTGAAGCTGTGGTCAGCTGAAGTAGCCCTTTCGAGCCATAGGTTACATAGTATACATTACCTGTTTTACACTTTATGTTATATGTTGCTTTGTATATGTATATATATATATATATATATATATATGGTACCCCCCCTCCGGTACCTACCTTTTCGGTGTCGTTATCAATACTATAGGCTTACACGTGCACTGGTTTCGACTGGTACCAGGGTGGGGAGGTGCCCGACAATATACAGTGTATATATATATATATATATATATATATATATATATAACTTGCACCTCTCATTTCCTGAACTTGGCTGGCTACGCTCTACGCTTACCCCCTTCAGTGCATTGAAACACGACAGCATGCAGATCAGATCTAGCGTCTTGCACTCTTACACCGGTCCGCGGCACGGATATTTCCACCTGCCATAGTAAGGGTCTGCATTGGGCATATCTCTAAATTACTCATCTTGTAGTTATCCCGTCGAGCTTTTTTGGGGGAACCCAAACCTCGAAAAGGTTTGGAGTCTAAGGAGCACTGTTTAACCCGAAAAAACTTTGAGGATCTCATGTATAGGGGCCTTAATAATTGGAATAAATAGGGCTTTGGGGGAGGGGGGTCCTTATTCTAATTATAGTATAATATAGCCCCCCTCCCCCCCCCCCACACCCTGTTCGAATTATTAAAGTTTCCTACATTATTTGTGCGAGTCACTGGCGAACCGCGTCGCTGCGCTCACAATTCCAGTCGAGGGCCCGTTCGGCACGTTTCCTGGGCCCAGCTCTCAATGCTCTTTGCTTCGCTCCTACTGGGATGCTGAGGCAAGTTTAATAACGTATTCAGGCAATCTTCAGTGGCGAGTTGTTCTAGAAGTTTTTCATCTGTCACAACCAGGCACATTCCAGGTTTCTAAAGCTTTCTTCATCAGGACTTGTGCAATCCCCTGAAGGTCTGGGCACAAGGAGGTTCAGCTCTCAGAGTCTATAAGGACAAAAGGAGTCCAAGCACGCTCGTGGAGAGCGGTTCGGACTGGCGCAGCTCGAGTCGGGGTCTTAGTCTGTGACAAAGCCTGCAACTAGTCCACGCTGTAGAAATGAACGACGAAGTTGCAGTGCTAACCATGTATGAATCTCTGCGGTGGTCAAGACTGTCGCGGCATCTGGTCCAGGCTGGCTTTTGAAGTCTGAGCCAGTCAACTTTCGGCAGGGACGGTACTCCACAGGAGAGCCCTCGTCCAGTCTTGTGGAGTCAGGCTCGTGCGCATCTGGGACATCTAGTTCCCTATACGAGGCTCTCCTTGGCCTTAGCAGCATCTTTATCCCTGCAGTTCTGGGTTTCGGCGCTCGCACTGGGACGGACCAGGCGAGGCATATTTGGTTCGAGGTCTGATAAAGAGGTGCAACAACATAGCAGGAGTTTTGGACCACAAGAAACAACTCAACTCTACAGGTGAAACTCAGAAGAACTAAGGGTTTCGGCCGTTCTCCCACTGAGATCTTTTTTACTGCACAGATATATCATCTAGTTGAAGATCTCAGCCACTACCTTGAGGAGATCACGCAAGATCGGGACTCAGGTAAACCTAGGTTCTGGGTTTAAGGTCTATAAATCTGGGGGGAAACCAGCAAGGAAAGCGACGTCAAGAAGCTCTGCTCTGCGCAAGCTTGCAATTCCGACTCCGACTCTTACCCCTGCGACATAACCACCGGCCGGACTATGTCAACATGACGGCTTACATTCATGTGCAGCCTTGAATCTTCTCTTTGCCGTCGTCTTTCCTTACAGAGAGACCGGCAGAGACGACTTGTCACGGGGTTGAGGCAACAGCTGAAGGGGAGCCGGAATTGAAGGGCATAGATGGTAGGGCTTACGTGTTTTATTCAAATTCCTTGAAACAAAACGGGGTCTAGGAAGGACCTTGCCAGCATGGCTGCCTGCCGAGGTGCTTGGCCGCCTTCTTCTCTTTCTTGTTTTTTTTGTCCTTTTTGTCCTGCTTGATTGACGAACATTCTGGACTTCGGCGTGTCTGTAGCATATCGTATCTGATGAATCTGATGCCTGTTTTTCGGACTTACTTCTGCTGCTTTCGAGCTGCCTCGCCGGCGCAGAAAAGTCTCCGTCCTTCTTCGCCTTCTTTTTCTTGGCACTCTCGCTGTCTGATCCGCTGCTTCCCATGACGGCTGCACATGGGAGGGGGGGAGGGGGGCGGAGTAGAACACGTGCGATGTCTGAAGTAGCTGAAAATGCGAACTGCGGTGGCTGAAGAGTATCACATCCAATGCTTCCGAAAAGCTTTGCCCGGGGGGGGAAGAGGCCGGGCTGTCTGTGGTCGGCTGCTACCCACCCCGGTACCAAAGAAACGGTTAAAGTCTGAAGAACCCCCGGGGGCTAGTCTATTTTCTTTCTTAGCGCAAGAAAGAATAAGTCACTGCTAACTGCCAGATCCCGAGCCAAATTCGACAGCACGTGCTCGCACTACCTCTCTTCCCAGCCGGACAAGCATGAATCACGGGCCAGCATCGCATGGCGGTTCCGTCAGAAGGGCCGGGGCATAAACACTCAGGGGTCATAAGCACTCAAGCTTTGGGCAGAATGCGCACGGGACGCCTGTCAAAACCTGCTAGTACTGCGGAATGCCTTTCGACTAATCATGCTCTTAAATATATGTTCACAGTTCCCAACCGCAAGACTGAAAGCATCTTCAAACATGGAGCCCTGCAGCTACACTCTATTACAATCATTTCTTCTGCTCAGTATCAAGTTCTCATGCGGTTCCACCTCCGCGAATGTGAACTGCAGGCGGCTGTCACTGCACCGCGTCATCCCCCCAGTTCCCCCGAACATCCAGACCCGTAACCCCGTTGCTGTCAAGCTGGCTTCCGGCTTGCCTCGACACGCGACTGTCGGAGCTGCTTCGCACGCATGATGCTCTGGGCGCCCATCTCCGCGGGGAACCTGGGCGAACATACCATCGCCCAAAACTAAGACGCTGAAAACATGGAGCCCTTGCCCTGAACCGTGTCTCGCTCGCTCTGTCGCTCTCTCTCTTTTGCCTGCTTGCTTGAGGGCGTGTGCGCGCTAGCGGCTGCTAGCGCTACACCTGTGTCTGTGTCCGGTCTGTGTGAAACAAGTGTTTGGACACCGGGAGCAGCCGCTTCGCCCCAACTGCCACAGCCTATGAACCCACAGAGCATGCCCCCGCCTTGGGATGTGTCCGTTTCCCTCTCCTTCGGTCGAAACTACGGCCCCCGACCATTTGTCGGCTGAGGCTTTCGGCATTGTTCCCAGTCCATGTGCCGTCTTGCCAGGGCTCCTGTCGGTTCCTTTGGCTTCGGAACAACTGCAACAAACGGCTTATCATGCTCATCAAGGTCTACACACTGCACGAGCGAGTTCTTCTGAGGGCCCCTCTCTCTCTCTCTCTTCCGGGCTTGGGGGTCGCGGCGGCGTTCAGGCCCCTCCCCTCTCTCTCTCTCTCTCTCTCTCTCTCTCGGGCATAGAGGCCGGTCAGGGCCTCCGGGCATCATGCCCACCCGAAGTGTTTGCGGGTTTTCGGAGGCGTGAAGTATGAGCATAGACCACCTATCAGCTAAAGCCATAACGTATGCGATATCGTCGTTAAGGTGCTCGTATGCTCTCGAAGGACACGTGCAGAGTCGCCAACACTTTCCCGGGTTGTCAGGAAGAGGATAGAAGATTTGGTACAACAAAATGCTGCCACTCCACTCCCCTCTCTCTCTCTCTCTCTCTCTCTCTCTCTCTCTCTCTCTCTCGGGCATAGAGGCCGGTCAGGGCCTCCGGGCATCATGCCCACCCGAAGTGTTTTCGGG